CTCAAAACTTTCATGCATATAAAAGAATGCAAATCTTTTCTTGCTCCTAGCTTTAAATGAAGACTTCCATTCTCAGGCTGCACAAGTTCTACACCTATACAGAGCTGTCTCATCTCAGTGAATAAGAATGTGACAGATACTGCTGCCCACTTTATACCCTAAGTCATACCAAAAGTTAGTATGCAACAATCACAATTTAGTGGTAAACTTAATGAAGGGTTCCTGACCTAGCCACATGCCACCGAACTTCAGCAAAGAAGTCAAGCACGTAAAATTCTAATTCTTATTCTAATCAAACAAAAATATTTGGGCAGGCTAGTGGTTTGCCATGTTAATTGGTAAAATCTTTTTTTTTTTCTCTTTTTTTGGTACCGGGGATCGAACTTGGGTCCTTGCGCTTGTGCAGCAGGCGGCGAAACCACTGAGCTAAATCCCCTGCCCAAAAATCTTTATTTTTAAACATGCTACATCCCCAAATCCAATCAACTCTAATGGAAAATGAGAAAATGGCTCAAGACTTCATACTCTATTGCTCCAAAACATACTTTCAACTCAAATTTTAATTAATGTATGGTTTTGACAATCTCTGCTTTCATGCCAACATTTTATTGAAACTGACATCAACTTAATTTAGTTTCAAATTTGCACAGTGAAACCACTTTGCAGGATTTCCAATAACTCAGTGACACAGCTGAACCCAGAGAAAGCCCCTAACTTAGCAGAATTCACAGTGCTCGATTAGAATTTTTCTTTTTTTTTTTTTGGTACCGGGGATCAAACTCAGGACCCTGCACTTGCAAGGCAGGCAGTGGAACCACTAAGCCAAACCCCGGGCCCTAGAATTTCTTATCTTCAAGAATTTCAAGCCAGTTGGTTGGCACAAGCCTGTAATTCCAGCAATCTGAGCAACTGAGACAGGAAGATTTCAAATTCAAGTCCCACCTGGGGAATTTAGTAACCTTGTCTAAAAATTTAAAAGTAAAAGGAAAGGGGCTAGGGAGGTAGCTCAGTGAGAAGGCTCTGAGTTCAATCCCTAAAAAAACAAAAGAACATAAAAAACAAAACAAAACAAAAACAAAAGAACAGGAAAAGTGTCCAGATAATATATTTATGTTACTACCTCTCTTTACAAGTCAGAAATTTAATTAAATTCACAAAAACGTAAGACAACTATGTCTCACAGCCCCCACAACATCACTCATCTGAGGTACACATAAAGCATTATTTCATTATGAAACACTACAGTGAGATTATTATAAGAAAGGTTTCTTAGCTAATAGATTCACATGTTATTACAGTCACACAAAGTGATGACATTATTGGGAGGGCTAAGACATACTGAAGTCACATTACTTCAGTACAGAAGCACAAATCATCACTGAACAGAGACAAAAGGTGATAGTTCAAGGGCCAGGGTTCAATTCCCAGCACAGGAAAAAAAAGAGTGTGCTGCTGCCTCTGTGGTACTGACTATACAAGAGGAATACACAGGAAGAGTTACACCGCAAGTCTTCTACAAATCTACATCCACATAATCCGCTATCAAATCAGCAGTCAGACAAGCAGCACGTAAACACTGATTTCTTTTCCAAATGTGCGTGGTCCACGCTCTCCTATTTTTAGTTCACTTCTTGATTTCTCAAGGCCAAGAAAAACCACAAGATCTAAAGTAAGAATCACTGTCATGATGATACTAGTAGTCAGATGCTTTTCTGTTCTCCAACTTCCATACGCCTCAATGTGTCACATCAAACCTTTAGACACACAAGAGTTCCCCAAATCACATGCAAGCAAAAAGTAGGTGGCAGCATTTTGTAAATAAATATAAACATACACACACACCACCCCCCCACACACAAACACACACAGGAAAAAAAAATCTAGGCTTCCCTCCCCCAAAATCTCTGTGAATACTAAAACACTTAATCTAGGAATCAAAGAGTACAGTCCCTTTTCTATAGCCTAAATCTATTAAAAGAATTTAAATCACCTCAAGTTCACCAAACATGGTAGTTTTTTTAAAAAGCCTCACAAGAAACTTAGGAGAATATATAGACTTGTGTTCTCATATAAGCCAGTTTGATGTCAAAAAAAAATCAAAAGCTGTATAAGCTTTAGCCAGGCGTGGTGGCACACACCTGTAAATTCCAGCACTCTTTAGGCTGAGACAGGAGGATTGCCATGAGCTCAGGGTCAGTCTGGGCTACATAGTGAGTTCAAGGCCAGCCTGAACTACGTAGTGAGACCCTGTCTCAGAAAAAAAAAAAAAAGTGAATTCAACCTTCACTAACAACACACCATCATATGGTGTATTGAAGAATGAAGGGAGTAGAAATGGAAGACAGGAAAGAATCCCATCTCTTTAAGTAATAGCCACACTAGATATGTCCAACTAGTAACATCACATATTATATCAGGCTTAGAAGTATAAAAATCTTGAAAGAATAACTAGTTGATATGGCATTTTTTATAAGACAAAATAGTATTACTCATTATAATATCTGTGATTAAACACTTTTTCAAAAGCAGTGTTCAAATTTTAAATTTGCAGAAAAGCCATGAAAATTTCTCAATTAGTTATGGCAAAATTTGGAAGCAGTATTGAGGATCTAGTAATTAACAAAATAAACACATTTACAAACAATTGTGCAATGTGAATAAGAGTCTGCAAAATGAAGAGTATGCTACTGAAATCAACTGATTTATCCAAGCATGCCTGCAAGTTCTGCCAGTGCAGGATGGCAGCTTCTGCCTTAATAATATGCTTTACTATAAAACTGATTTTTTTAAATAACCAAGTGACTGTAAGAACTGGCAAAGGGAAATGAAAATAAAATAATCGCAAGCATTTAATCTAATTGTACAACTCTAACAGTTTCTCTTGGATTTTGCAATAACATTAAGATGTTACAATAGAGTTCTTGTACTACTGCTCTGTTCAGCAAATTTTTACATGCCAAGGTTTTTATTCAGAGCCAAGTATAAAAGTTCCCTAGAGAAGCTCAGTTAATATTACATAAACTTCATTTTCATTTAGTTGAAGAAAAAGAAGTTAATCTAATCTAAAAGTGAAGCTAAGAATTCACCTCTTTGAAGAAATAATTATTATTCCACTGATCATTTGAAGGTATGACATATACTCTATACACATAAACTGGAAAAGTTATTGCAATTAGTAAATTATCATCTCATGAAGATTAAACGACAGAGTAGAAAAAGAAAATATTGATTAAAAGTGGCCAAAGACTTTGCAAAAACCTATAATCAGAAAAAACTGTAAAAGCCACACATTGTATGAGACACCTGGCTACAGTCAAGGACTTCATGGAGTCATGCTATAATCTAACAATTACAAAAGAAAATCAACTTATTTCAACTAAAATTAATGTAAATTGGTTTTGGTGTTTTTTAAGCCAGGGTCTCCATATGTAGTTCAGGCTGTCCTCAAACTCTGAGTCTCCAGACTCCAGAGTGCTGGGATTACAGGTGTGCGCCACCACACTGGGGTAAAATGAATATAAATTTTGCAGTCATTTTTCTGCCACAATTATGTTTCTGGTACTATCTTCTATTAAAAAAAAGCACCCATGGGGCTGGGGACTTAGCTCAGTGGTTCCACTGCCTGCCTCCCAAGCGCAAGGACCCGAGTTCAATCCCCCATACCAAAAAAAAAAAAAAAAAAAATTACATTAAAAAAAACCACCTGTGTACTCATCTGTCCCAGTTAGTTGCCAACTACAACCGTCTTTTACACTTATTTTTCTACATCACTCTCCTAAAAATATTTGTACATTATCTGCAAAATAGCACATAAATATTCCTCCTGCAAACCTGTCAAAAGTACTCCTCAAATTTTCAAGATAATTCTAATCCCGGAGTTATCAGTGAGAGGAAGATCTGGTAGGCTCATGGACGGTCGAAAATTTCAACTCAAGCTGTAAAACTGTCAAGTCAAACACTCCATATGTAACATCCAAGTGTCCGAATTCCTCTTCAAGCTTGATTTTTAAAGTTAAAAGGTAATCCCAGCACAAGGAAGACTGAGACAGGAGGAAATTAAAAGCTAGTGTACTAAATCTTTTTAAAAAATTTTTTTTTAAAATGGACTTTAAACTGGACTGATACTTAAATTTATTTAAGGAAGAACAAAAAGAAAGACTGACGTACACCATTACTGTTAGAGAAGAAATTCGAATGACATCTTAATTTTCAGAAGCACTCCTTTCACTGTCTTCTACAAGCATCACTTCCTCTCCACTACCTCCCCCAGGCCTGGGGGCAAATCAGTGATGAACAACGCCCCTCTCAGATTCTTCAAAGCATCACTGTCTACAAAGAGTAGAGCCCTATAATCCAACCGCCCTGGCTCTGGGATCTCTGCCTCAAGAGACACCAACCTGTAAAAATGCCAAAGCCCTAAATCCGATCCCCAAGGGCTCCTCTTCTTTCTTAACCACATTTCTCTTTTCCGATGCTTCTCTCAACCCTTCAAGCCGGACGACTTCTCACCCAAGTCCCCTCCGCCTTCTTCCAATCAACCCTGACTCCTGCCCTCCGCTGCACCGTCGCCACCTGTTCGGGGGCTGCCAGTCCCAGCCTGGTGCCCTCGCCCTCGACCCGGGGTTCACACCGGCCCCAGGCCTTCTCCTCGGGTCCTCCACCCCCACCCCCAACCCCAACCCCTCAGCATCTCTGCCTCCCGTGCACACCCCCGAGGACCCCTCGGCCCTTCCTCCCTCCCTCGCGCTCTCAAGCCCCCAAGCCCTCGCCTCCCCTCGCCCCCCAGCCCCTCACCCCCGGCCCCGCCGCCCCCAAGTCGCCGACTCCACAATCTCCATTTCCTCCGGATTCCATTCTAGAGCGGCCTTCCCGGCTGCTCAACCGTCTCCCCCTCCGGCTCCCGACCCCTCCGCAGACTCCGGCTCCGCCCCGACTCCCCACTCACCCTTGCTGCAGGCGCCCCCCAGCCTCCCCTCGCCTCAGCCTCGGCGCCCGCTCACCTCCGCGGTGGAAATCGGGGTCCCCGAACCCACCTCCGAGTCGGCGTCCGAGGCGCCGTCGGAGTCCGGCGGCCTCCGCACCTCGCCGGAGTGGAGCGCCCCGCGCGGAGGGGGCGGGGTCCGAGGCGGGGCCCAGGGCGGGGAGCCGGCGTGGAGGCGGGGGCGGTGGCGGCTGCGCGCAGGCATCGCTCAGGCCCAGTCGCCGCCGCGCCGGCAGCTCTGCGGAGCCGACCCGGAATTGCTCCGGGAGGCGGGCCCCTCGGGCGGGAGGCGGAGCACTACCGGCGAAGGGCGGGGCCAATACCGGAAGGGACTCTGGACTTCAGAGGGCCCGGGGGAAAACCGCGCCCGGAGAGCCTGAGAGTGCCCGTCTCAGACTCGGGGCCGACCTGGGACAACGGGGTGTGGGGAAGACAGGGGGACCTGTGGGCTTGATAAATAGGGTCAGAGCCTAGAAGATTGTCCGGATTCCTTGGGAGGGGGCCAGCTCCTTTTCAAGTACTGCTAGCATGTACTGCCCCTTTTCTTTGACAGTGTCTATCCCAAATGCCAAATAATTACTCAATCCGGTTTCAGCTCTGCAAGGTAGATAGATGATACATCACAGAGAGGCCAGGAAACATATTGACAGGTTGTTACCAGAGTTTTAGGGCAAAAACTCTGGCTAATGGGTCCCAGAAGACCAAGTTCAGCCACTTGTTCCATAACTCCAATCAAAGAGCAACGGCAAAGGGCAGGAAAGTACCTTTAATCAACATGGCCATGCTGGAAAGTGCGGATAAAGTTCAGGATCTGTCCTTAAGAGGCTTACAGATGCTTGGTCTTAGAGAAAATGGGAACAAAGCTGGGAGTTGGCAAGTTGGCAGCACAGGTCGCCCTGGCCATGTCCTTAGCCTGGTTGGTGGGCATCTCAGGACTGGTTCTGGGAGGTTCTGGGAGAGCCATGGACTGAGGCACAATTCCGTTCTGGTTGTGAGGTGGGGACTCTTGCTTTGAGGGGCAGTTTCCTATCCTGTCAGCAAGTGGGCTAACTGCTTCCACTTGAGGGATGACCTCATCATGAGCTGGTCTTCCAGGCTCTGCTTTCCTGGAATCCGAAATGGCTGCAGGTTTAGGTCAATGACTGGAGACTTCCGGGCATTACTGCAGGGGGTCTGGAACTGCACATTGTAAAAGCTGGCAATTGGATGACCTTCAAATCCTAAAAATTACTTTACTTACTGTTCTTTTGGTGTCCTTGGTTTTAAAGGGGGTTGAAAGATTAGGTAAATTTAGGGATAATAAGCCTTGTAATTCAGGCACTCCTTAAGTGATTAGCATGCCCGTGTGCAGACCTGAGCAGAGATCTGATCTCAAGTTCTAAAGTAAAAAGGGAAACAGGTAAAATGAAGGTAGATGCTAGGCTTTATCCTGCTTTTAGTTACCCATTGGACAGGTGCAGGGCCAGCTTCTAGGTCCCTCTTACCATATTACAGTTACTATATGTCCAAGCTGCTATTCCTATCCAAATCTGTCTAATATGAGAATTTATGTTCTCACTCCACTATTTCACCCCACTCCGAGGAAAGGCCCCCTCCCAGCCCAGACCTAGCACTGGCAGGTGGATTCCACTATAAACCTTGTGGGCATTTTTAGATGCTGTCCCTCCTGTTTTCTCCCCACATTTCTCTGACTCTACAAACTTTGCCCCTGAGCTCTAGCAACACACAGGCTCACCACAGACATCTGGCTCCCACCTAGTTTGTGGCCCTCCCAAGTGGTGAGATCAGAGCCATGTGCCACCACACCTGGATCTAGCAGAGCTTTTTCTATCATTCATCCTTGGATCCAGCTCCACCCTGGCTCTTGAACCAAATGGCCTTAGGCAGGGCTCTATACCTATCAATCCAACAAGCATTTCAAAGCACCCCCTATGTGTTAGACCCAACACATCCTTTACTTCATTTAACCTTTGCAACCGTTCTCTGGAAGGTGTGACTGATATAGGGGAAATAGATGTAACTCCCCAATCTGCTAGATAGCTGAAGCACGAATTCATGTTCTCTAAAATCTAAGAATGAATTATAAGAACAGCGGAGGTTAAGAGCGGGGGAAAAAATGTATTGAGACAAAGATAACCTCTGTCTAATGGGAAATGGGTTACCGCCTGTAGAACTGCATAACTCTGTAATCATAAAACTCCCCTAGCCCCAACTGTGATTGAATGTGAGTAAATAGATAAAGATGCTTCTTAGTTCCAGGACACTAGATAAGATCCTATCAGCCATAATTATCCAACTCTTTGTTCCGGACACCATCTATAGAACAATCTACAAAGCATCTGCTGACTAATTAACATACAGATGTAAGACCACTAACCTTTGTTCCTTCTTCTGTAAATTTCACCTGTTAACTTCCCTGCAACCCCCTATAAAAAGAGCCTCGGACTCTGGGCTGATCGCCTCTCTAAGCTACTTTGCTTTGGGAGTGCCGTCTGGCCAGACTAAGGTCTGTTTCACTCTCCAACTTGTCCGGTTGTCTTCGCTGCAGTCAGCTCCTTGGAGCATTTGGTAAGGCCCTTGGCCTTACATTCTGGAGGCACCGCTGGGATCCCTGGGTGTGCTCCACTACAGTCAGCTCCTTGGAGCATCTGGTAAGGCCCTTGGCCTTACATTCTGGAGGCACCGCTGGGATCCCTGGGTGTGCTTCACTATAGTCAGCTCCTCGGAGAGTTTGGTAAGGACAGCGGTCTTACATGCCAACCCTGCTTCTCAAAGGTGTTTTATGGGACAGAGCCATGAGGTGAGGTGGGTTCAAGGTGGGATAAAACTAGTTAATTAGTGCTGGGGATTTAGCTCAGTGGTTCTGCCTCGGGCCTCAGAAGCGCAAGGTACCGAGTTCGATCCCTGGTACCAAAAAAAAAAAAAAAAGCTAGTCAACTAGTAAAACTGCAAGTACAGTTGCTTAGGTAATACTGATCCAATGAGAAATCACAAGGTGGACAAAACTATGATTAACCAATAAGATTATGAGAAGTACAGTCACTTAGGTAATTTTTTTTTTTGGTACCGGGGATCAAACTGGGGACCTTGCCCTTGAGTCAGGCAGCAGAACCACTGAGCTAAATTGCCATCCCTGTCACTTAGGTAATATCCATTAGATGGGGATCCAATGGGGAAGCAAGTCACCTAGCAAGCGTACAAGGATTTTCAGTCAGGGACTGTTCCTGGAAGGGGTGGGTAAGATCTTGGTCCCCCCACCCAGGTGATGGACACCTATTTAGAATATCAATCACTGCTATTCATCTTTAGGAGAACGTGGGTGTGGTAGCTTTCTCTTCACAATACTGGCCTTCAGTGAATGTGTCTTGATTGTCCTCCGTGTTGGTTCCTGGCAGGCCGGCCCTGTCTAACTGCCTACAAGATATCTAATTAACTTACCTATCTGCAATAGGATCATCCTTAACTTTACAGAGAAAGACACCCAGGTTGAGAGAGGTAGTGACTAGCAGGGATCAGTCTGATTCTGTAAGACCGAGGGCCTTACCAAACGCTCCGAGGAGCTGAAGTGGAGCACACCCGGG